TTATTTAAATATTAAATAATAAATTTTATATTATTTAATAATTAATTTTTTTATTTTTTCAAAACTTAAAATATTTTATACATTAATTAATTTAATAATATAATTTATACTATATTATTTAATTTTAAATTTTTATCTTCATCATCGTTACTCTAATAAGTAATATTGAAAAGTTTAGAAAAACAAGAAACACTACTATAAAATCATTTTTCAAATAAAACTAAATAAAAGTACAGTTCGATGTACCTAGTGGACAATGAACAATTAAAATCCTAACCTAAAAGATAACAGTATTATTAGTAGTAAAATTTCTTGTTTTCCCTCTCTTCACTTCTTTTTGTGGCTCATTAATATTAGACAAAATCTCATCATATTTAACATTTCCATCTAAAAACCTCAAAATTTATAAATCATTACTACTAAAATTGTTTAAAAGTAAACGTTTAAGAATTAAATTGTATATTTAACTTAAAAATTAATAGTAAATTTTATAAAAAATTTATTTTATAATTTTTCATAAAAAATAATAATAATAAAATAATAAATACACCATTAAGGTACATATTAGAATAACTCTTAATAATATTAATAGTTTTATTTTGATTTTTAATTTTAAAATAAAAAATTAAGTAAAAATTTAATCTAAGATAACTGACAATTAATTTTTTTTTAAATCAAGTGAAACTATCAAACAAGAACTACATATGAAAAAAAATTTTAATTGACATTATTGTACTATGTTAAATTTTTACCTAATTTTTTATTTTAAAATTAAAGAATTAAATTAAGGCTAGTATTATTAAATGGAGGCAATAATTTTTTTGACTTTTTTTTTTCTAAATTAGAATTTAAGAACAATTTATGTTATTACTATATTAAAGGGATTCTTCATAAAGAGATAGAGATAAAGAAAAACAATTAAATGCCTCCTTTAAAAATAAAAAAATGAAATTTTGTTTAAGATAAATTTTCAATTAAAAACCAACCACTACAATGACAGAGGAAGTCAATACCAATACCAAAATGATGGATGAAATTATTGTCATATCTTAAATAGTTAATGTTATATTTTTTTAATATAATTATTTATTATATCTTTATGTTACATTTTTTTTCTCAAAAATTTATATTTTTTGTTTCTTAATAAATTAAAAAGTATAATTATCAATTAAAATAAAAAATATATAAATTAATAAAAAAGGATGTGACAACAATATTACCTAAAACTACATAGCAAGCATTAATGACAACACTAATTTCATTTATTGGGAAGCCATATTTAGCAGACTATGGCCCCGTTTGGTATAGTAGTTTTGGGGTAGCGGTTAGCGGTTTTACTTAAACTGCTAAATATAGGTGTTTGGTAAATTTATATATTTTTAAACCGCTACAACTAAAGTGTTTGGTAAAATTTTTATTTAGCGGTTTGAAATTAGTGGATAGCGGTTAGGGTTCAAATCGCTAGCGGATTGAAAAAGTTAGTTTATGTAGCTTTTTGTACCAAACTGCTAGTGGATTAGAATTTTTTAATTTTATTGACAAATTTATCCATTTTAAATTTTTTAATTTGTGGTTACATTTTTTAATTAATAATTATCTAATAAATTTCAGTTTTATTTTTTTTACCTTTAATAACATTAAGTGATTATAATATTTTTTTGTATATTAATTTATAATTAAAAAATATATTATCTCAAAAAACAAAATTTGTTAATTAGACAAAATGATTAATTTTTATTTAAAAATAATATAATTTTTTCTTTTTTAAAAATAAAAATAAGGGTGTAATTACATTATTATAATTAATTTTATTTTTTTATTTTTTTATTATTTTTTCTATAAAATTAATAATTTTAATAATAAAAAATAAAAATATTTTAAAAAATACATTTTATTTGTTTTTAAACATGTCCTTATTAGTCATTTGATATTAAACAACAACCGTTAACTATTGTATAACCAAACAGTTATATTTATCGAATCCGTTATTTATCATCCGTTACCCACTTTCCGCTATCTGTCGTCTGCTATCCGCTTACTGCCACCCGTTACCCGTTACAGCTATCTGCTATCCGCTGCTCGCTATCCGCTGAACTTTAACCGCTGTACCAAACAGGGCTATATGTCCCTTTTTTTTTCCTTTTTTTTTTTATTTAAAGAATTGGTAGGAATATGTGTCTTCTTTAAATGAGGTTTGCCTTTTAATATGCTTGGAAAATATTTGCTATATATATAAAAAATATAATAAAATTCATTCAATGAATCGATGATGTTACCTTGATAAAAAAATGGATGATTATGACAAAAAACTAGTCCAAATTTGAAATCGTTAACTAAGGGCACTTGTCCAGCAAAGGCTGTCAGTTGATTTCCTAAATATTAGTAAAGTGCAAAAGCACAAGCCTTAAACAGCTATTAAATCACTAATGCTCTCAACTTAGTGATACTTATTACACCATGGTACCTCGTGTACCTAGACCAACTAGTGCCTCAACCTTCAAACTCTCAACCATGAGAGAATCATAATCTGCAGCCACAAATTCATTGTGCTAAAGGGATCCAACAACCTCCTCGTAAAAGCTTCGCCAACCCTTACCCACAACCATTGTCGCGTCAGCGCCTCCCCTGTCCTACCCTCTTCGCCTTGCACAGGCTGCGCAGATCAGCACACTTACCTAAAATGCTGAGTGCTGATGTAGTCGTGATGAATCACAAGTTGGGTAAATAGAGCAAAAGGAAGTAATTTATATATGTGAAGACCTATAAATATATAAGATTAGTTTTTTAAGATTAAGATAGTATCTTCATATATTAAACCCTTGCTCGTGTGTGCTTGCGACCCAATCTCCCATGTGCTCTTGTATATAGGTTCCCATAGGAACTTTGCTTCCTTTTATACCATGGTTGAGTTTGTCGGCCTCTTGAGTTTAACCCTGGGCTTATGGAAGAGTATGCAAGGGTCATACTATGACACTCATGGGAGTGCAACCACGACTCACATTTGAAGGGGGACATTAATTGTTTAGTTAGTTCACTTGGTAAAAAATGATATAATTGTGAATGAATCATATATCAGAAAAAATAGAATGAAAGCAAGTAGTTTATATATGTAGAAATCTATAAATTATTAGATAATTTTTTAAGTTCAAAATAATGCTTTCATACATTGTGTCGTTGCTTTTGTATATGTCAATAATAATTTGATCTCCGTTGATGTTATCGTCCCAAATTCTCTTCCTAACACACTCACAGGGAGGCTTACTTGTCCACTAACTTAAATTATTAATCTAATCGTTCAAGTAAATTAAATAAGCAGAGCAAAACTAAAAATCACTAGAGCAACTAAATTATGAGCATAAGATACGAAAAATATCAGTAATATATAATTATGTACACAATTATTAAAAGAAAAAGATCTCCGTCTTATAATCAATCATTTATCTTCTTACACCATTGTATTAACTAAAATCTGTTCAAGATCGAGTCATCAAGATTAAATAATAATTGAGAGGAAAAAACAAAAAATATGAAGTTGGATGTCAAAAGACAGCTATCATTCGGGATTGATAAATTGTCTTAACGTAGGCTTTCTTTGCTTTCTTGAATTTGTATATAGATGAATGAAGATTTTACTGCCTAATCACTTGTCAAACATGATCAATATAGGCATACTTTTAATATAGATGAAGGAAGATTTTGTTCACTAATCATTTTTCAAACATGATCAATAGGCATAATTTGGATATATATGAATGAAGATTGTGTTCCCTAATTACTTTTCAAACATGACCAATAGCTATAGAATAAAATAAAAATCAATGATCTATTACTAGATGCTTGTTTAGCTCAATTTATGCCACAATTTCTTCATTGTAAAAAGCTAAAGGAAAGCCGCATAAACTTTTCTTAAAAGCATTTATAACTCTTTAGAAGTTTTTGAAAAGAAACGGAAAATCCGGACAAAATATAAAACATGTGGGACATATTATAAAGTCTCATTTATACAGTAATTGTAAACTTGTGATCGCACCTTCTGATGCGGTGTTCTCACTTTCCATAAAATGGCAAACCATTCTGTCTACCACGTGTCCCCGAGAGCTAATTTCTTTAAATTTTGTTTCTAGATGAAATGAAGCTAAAGTTGCACATTTAAGGTTATTTGGTAAAGCACTAAAGCTTGAAAACGAGGGCTGTTAATTAAACACTTGCTCGTTACACACCCTATAACTCATGAAAAATACGTTTTGCAAGAAGACTTGTTTATAATCGGGTCGGCGAGAAGATTTGTAAGTTTAATAAGTAGAATTTGTCAAATTCAAAATTATTCATCGTCTTTATATATATATATATATAAAAGTATTCATTGTATTTTTTCATGTGTTTGAAATTGCTATTTTATAGTGTTTTATCCCACAGAACTTACTAAAAATGTTAATTATTAATCAATTTGAGTTGACTTATACAGTTAAAAAAAATCATTTGATCCATGTTCGAAAAAAATGTTTGAATTTTTTTAACACTATTTTAGTGAAAACAATTTTAAGGGGTTATACTTGTCACCCTCATCTTATGTTTGGGGTGAGAGGAATAGAAAAGAGGAAAAAGGGGGAAAATTTTTTTTAATTAATTAAATTAAAATATTTTTTAAATATTGTAATTTAGTTAATAAAAAAATCTTTTTTTCTCTTTTTTTTTTTTTTTTCATTTTTCCCAATCTAAATGTACTATTAAAGATACAGTTTTGCTTAATATTTGTGAACAGAATCGTTTGTAAAATGCCTATACAATTAGTAAGACCAGATGCCTCGATTATGTCATCCAAAAAATATAAATTATTATAATTACATAAGTTTTAAAAAATATTTTATGTAATTTAATAATTATACAAATGTACAAAACTTTTTAAAAGTAATTATTAACCACTAATATAATTTTTGTGATGGTAAAAAAAAGATAAAATACTGATATTCCTAAACGAATAGCCTTAGAGTTGAATGTGGTAACTAATAAAAAAATTTTATTATCATATTTTAAGTTGCACAGTATATAACAATCATTTCTGGTTTCTTTACTAATTTTATTTGTTTGTCATGCGAGACTGAAACACCTAAGATCCTTTGTTCTCATTGAGAGTCGAGACTACTATTGAATAGCTCTATGTTGTTGGCTTATAACTAATAGAGTTTAAAAAATCCTCTGCACAGGAAATCAGTTTTTTTTTTTTTTTTCTGTAAAAAAGAAGAGACCCTTTTATGCAAATATAAAATTAGTCCCATTTGTATATTGTACAATTTCACTTTTTAGGTTTGGGTTATTTTTGTTAGGCTTTTCTTCTCGTGGTTTGGGTTTGTGTTTTTCTGTTGTTTTTTTAATGTCAACATGTTTTTGGGAGTTTAATATAAACCAGTGGTCCATTGCAAATTAATCAGTTATAGGATCTTTTATTTAGTTAAACAATTAGACTAACGTTTAGGGTCTTCTAATGTTGTTTTATTAATGTCAATTTGTCTTTGGATATTTTAGCACTATTAGCACCTCTATTAAAAGTTTATTTAATAATTGGTATAGCAGTTATGTATTGGTTTGTTGATTGCGAGTTTACTACCATAGCCCAAGCCCTACTCCAGCCCGGGTTGGTCATTGAAATTGTCTTTCTTTGTCCCTTTTTTTTTTTAATTCTTCTTTTTCCTTTTTTTTTTTTTTTTTTTGGCTCTTCTTCAAAGCATTGAGTTTACCTTTAAGCTGTTCCTTAGTTGCTTTTATTTCAACATGGTGGAATTTAATCTGAGTCTTCAACAACAAAAGTGGAAGTTCAAGAAAGAGAAATAAATAGAATGTATATTACATTGACAGGGAAATTGTGAGTAACTATTGCAAGGAAGTGCGAGAGCTTGGTTTCAGACTACAAGAACTAATATCAGAGAGCCTAGGCTTAGAAAAGGACTACATAAATAATGTCCTGGGTGAACAAGTCCAACATATGGCTGTGAACTACTATCCACCATGTCCTGAGCCAGAACTAACATACGGATTGCCTGGTCACACAGACCCTAATGCCCTCACAATTTTGCTCCAAGACTTGCAAGTTGCAGGCCTACAAGTACTCAAAGATGGCAAGTGGATCGCTGTCAATCCCCAGCCAAATGCGTTTGTCATTAACATTGGTGACCAATTACAGGTAAGCATTTCTATAATAACATCAGCATGCTTAATTTAATAGTTTAAACAATTACTTGAGAAACAAAGATGGAATTTGGGCAGAACCAACAAACCTTACCTCTTAATGTAGGGGAATTGCAAATTTTACCTATTAATTTTGAAAGTTTCTTAATTTGTTCCTAATTTGACATATTTAGATATTCTATGATATGATTCTCCGAAAGTAGCTCTAGCTTTATGAACCAAGAATGCTATTAGTCTCTAATAGTCAATATGATAATGGTGATTGTAGGCATTGAGTAATGGGAGGTACAAGAGCGTCTGGCATCGAGCAATTGTTAATGCAGACAAGGCAAGGATGTCAATTGCTTCCTTCCTCTGCCCACATGACCATGCCATTATCAGCCCTGCAAAACCTCTCACTGAGGACGGGTCAGTTACGATATATAGGAATTTCACCTATGCTGAGTATTACAGTAAGTTTTGGAGCCGAAACCTAGACCAAGAACATTGTTTGGAACTTTTCAAGAACTAGCACTACTGGAAGCCTAGGATATTTCTCTGCTAATATACTCAATTTAGGTCAAACTCCCAAATCGGATCCTAAAATAAGAGGCACGGACAGGTCTGTCCCAAAAAAAAAAAAAGAATGCTAGGACAAATTACCCCTCCAAATCATTGATCAAGACAAATCATCTATTATTTAACTTATGATGTCATCACACATCAAAAATCCATTTGCAATTTAAGCCTTTTTTTTAACTAAAAGTTTGTGTGTGATGATATCACATGTTAAATAATAGGTGACTTATCTTGATAGATAATTTGGAGGGGCATTTTGACCTTACTTTTTTTGAGGAGCGGATATATCCCTACCCTTCTATTTGAAGGCTGGATTTGGGGGTTTGGCCCTCAATTTATTGTACTTCAATTCTTGGCCTAGGCAAATGGCAAGGAGTTCAAATTCCTTTCTTTACTATTTGGTGTAATGGGTATGACAATAAGTATATGAACATGAAAGGACTCTTAATTCCTTTAAATTCTTCCTTCAAGTTCTAAAGCTTTTAACCCCTTGAAAAATTCATTTACATGAAGTCAAACATATAACAATGTTTCTTTGACACAAGCAACATATAATCTATATATATATATATATATATTATTTATAAGACCAAGAAGTTAAGATCTATTTGTACTAGAAAACTAAACCCCTTTTGAGACAATCACACCTTATCGGGCAGAAGAAATAGGCATATTCTTGTGTATGATGATGATATAGTACTCTAGTCAAATTTAACCAAATCCTATGAGAAATTCCATGATGTAGGTGCCAAAAGTGCATCACATGTTTTGGAACCCTCTAAATCATGTGTCTTTTGCTAGGCTTAAAATTCTTTTTGTAGTCTTTTCCTCCTACCTATTAGGTTGATATGCTAGCATGATGCCATCATTGTGGACAACTAACTTGACAGCAATGGTGGGATATGAAAATCAAGAAGAATGCTTTTGGCATCAATAACCTTTCCTTTTCAACCCTTCACATAGAAAAGCATAGCAAACAATCAAGTTCCAAACCTTTTTTTGCAAATAATGGGGCTCAACATTGCTTGAAATTTTGATATAGCTTCATAACTAGAGTTTACAAAATAAACTTTGTCCTTAGTATGGCACTATTTTCAAGCATCAGGTTTCATTTCCCGTAACTAAACATTATTAAGCTAGTTATGCAATTCCTCAATCAGTGCCTCCTTTCATGAGAGCTTGTCATATCTCTAGGAAAGCTCCCAGGACCATACACCATTTTTCTAAGAACCCAAATGATTGATCATGATGTTCTTACCTACAAAAATCAAGTATAACCTTATATACTTATTAACTAAAAGCTCCTCTTCCAACCATTTATCAAACTAGTAACTTACATTATTATCATCCCTTACTTCTAATATAAACCTCCTTTCTAACCAATCTATCTTCCTTGATTTTAGTACATCTTATCTACCAATGACCTTTCCACTAATTTGATCTTACCCCTTTACTCACTCTTAACCGTTCTAACTAATTCCCCTTTCCCCCACATTGCCATACTTTTCCTTTTCATTTTAACCACACCCCTTCTTTCCAACTTGTTAAATTACCTCACCATTTCCTCAAAAGAGTTGAATTGAACCATCAAGGTTTAGACCCCTAACTCCTTTCCTCCATTTTCTTACACACTACATCCAAGTGAACACAATTTCTTTTTTTACCACTTTCACACCTTTCCATAAATCTCTTTTCATACCTTATCAATAACATGGACCACCCTTTTAAGAATGAGAAAGACAAACATAAGAAATAGGGTAGGCTTCATAGCATAGACTTCAACAGAGTAATCTGACTACCAAAAGAAGATACTCCCCCATCCAAATAGATAACTTCTTCTTAAACTTATCAGATCGTGGCATCTATAATGTTGTTCTTCTATAATTTTTATGTAGTGTTACACTAAGACACTTAAAAGAGAGCTCTTTGACCTTACAATTCAATATACAAACTAACTTCATCTTTTGCTTCTCTTCTACCAAAACCTTGTACAATAGACTTTACCAAAATTTATTTTAAGGCTTAATACTAGCTCAAAGGTCCTCATGATACACTTTGTAACCCACACATTTCCATTAGACACCCAACCAAACAAAATTGCATTGTCCAAAAATTACATATAAGAGAACTTTAATCCATGACTACCAATCTCAACCCTTTCAAACAAACCTTTATCAACTGCTACAGAAATAATCCCATTCAACCCTTTAACTACTAGCAAGAATAGAAATGGGCATAAGGGATCCCCTTGCCTCAACCCATGGATAATCAAAAACTATTTTGGATGCATTCCCATTAATTAAGACTAAGACCAAGTTAGTACTCAAACATTCTCAAATCCGTTTCCTCTAAGTGATTACAAAACTCAATCTTATGAGCATGTAATCAATGCAATTCCAACACACCATATCATATGCTTTCCTAGAAATCCACCTTAAAGAAGAATCTTACCTTGGTATTCCTTTTGCCTCATCAATTATCTACCTTAAAGCTTCATAATAGTTCTTTAAGAATTTCAGGTTCAAGTAGTGTTCAAGATGTGAGAAAACCCTTTTTTTTTTTTGTTCTAATATACCTAAAAATCAATGTTTGTCATGTCAATGAAATTCAAACTTTACTAACATAGGTCTAGAACCTATGAAGAATTTTTGGATGGAAAAAAATTCAGGAACTCAAATTTTGAAATGAAGAGGACAGTGATAAAAATGCAAGTCTAGACTTTTGGTGTTCCATCCTCTTTCTCTTGTAATTCATATCGATTTTCAAACATGAGCAGCTTACGTAAAGAGTGGGATAATCGAATGACATTTAATGTTCACTATTTTGCTACATTGATGGCTTTAGTGCTTCAATATTGCCAACTACACTTTATGGCTTAGAAATCCAAATCTCCAACTTCCAATGTCCAATTTCCAACCAATTTTTAATGTCAACACAAAAGTACACCTAACACATTGATTAAAGGAGAGTTATAATGCAAACAACAACTTACCTCTAACAGCCTTTAGTGTTTGGCTTTGTAATGCCTAAGCTTCTCTCTTAGCTTTTCAAATCTTCACTTAGGAAGGGATTTTAGTTAAGATATCAACATTTTGTTCTTATAAATCATAATGCTTTAATGGACATCCTTTTCATTGATGAAATTTTGATAACATGATATTTTACTTTTATGTGATTTGTTTTTCCATGCTAAACTAGATTATGAGCTATTGAAATTATTAACATATTATTTATCATCAAAACACAAGCTTCATCTTGATAAAAACCTAAAGCAACTAGCATTTTCTTGGATTAGACAGCTTAATTTGCTGTTGTAAATGCAACAACATATTTAGCATTAATAGTGGATTGTGTTCCTACAAGTTGCTTTTTTGAAATCCAATATTTTTTTTCAAAACTAAAAGAGAATTCATAACTAGTTGTGCTTTTCACATCGTTATCATAACTTGTGCAATCACTATATACATAACCTTCAAGGCTTTCTTTGCTACCCATCTCATACCGAAGACCATAATCAAAAGTTCCTTTTAGGTACTTGAGAACTCGTTTGGTTGACGAAAAAGAGTATGGCTAGGTGAGAACATGAATTTAGAAAGAAAATTCGCTAAATTCATTAAATTTGGCCTTGATGCTATCAAATATAATAGATTGCTGATCAAACCACTGAATTGAGAAGAATTGCCTTATCTTGCCCATAGTCAATCATGTATTTTCATTGAGAATCAAGAGAGTCAATACTAGCTTTCTATCTTTCATTCTATTTCTTCAACAAGTCTTTATTTGTGACAAAAAAAAAGTTATTTTCTACATCATTGGACTTCCATTCCAAGGAAGCATTTAATATCACCAAATTATAAATTTCATACTCCTTCCTCATTTTAGCCTTAGAATTGTGCAACAACTCCTCATTACCACATGTTAACAGCAAATCATGACATATAAGACACTATAAGTTGAGAATTATGATTAGTGCCCTTAAAATATAAGGTAAGCTCATTGTCACTCCTCATGAAACCTTGTTGTGGAAGATAATCATCAATTATATTGTATAGGCCATTGTTTCCTATTTTAGACCATATAAGGCCTTATTAGGCTTGCACCTATGGTCATTTTTTCTTGCAATTTTAAAACCTTGAGGTTGTTCAACATAAATTTCTTCCTCTAGGAATCCATTTGAAAAGGTTGATTTAACATACTTGTAATAGAGTTTCTTACCCAAATTTGTAGCTAATGCTACAAGGAATTTAATCGTATTATATATAGCCGCTAGTGCAAAAGTTCACTACAATATACTTGGGACTCTTGAGCATAGCCTTTAACAACTAACTTAGCCTTGTATTTATGAACAAACCTATCTAGATTCAATTTGGTTTTATACATCCATTTTACTTTAGTAAGATTTTTGTCTTGAACTCTTTCTATAAGATACAAGGTTTTATTCTTCTTATTGTAATTATCTCCTCTCGCATAGCTTGCATCTAAACATCTTGTTCTACTATAACTTCATGACATAATGGTTCAAAAATAGCTAGATTACATCTCTTATACACTTCATATAAAGATTTTACCTTCAAAATTAGAGAGTCCTCATTAACTCCAGGAATTTCTATATTTGATTGTAGGTTGGAACTTGTAAAATTTTCGATGTTCTCCTACACATCATCTATTCTTTCATTTTGTTTTTCTACTCATCAATTTGAGAAGGCCCCCTCATCAAAAAGTCACATTTCTGCAGATATTGCCCTTCTTGGATTGAGTGTTCATAAACTCTAGCCTTTTAATTGAGTGGCATATCTCAAGAAAATTCCCACACTTGCTTTTTGGCCTAGTTTTCCTCTTTTAATGTCAAGAATATGAGTTTAACATATTGAACTAAAAACTTTTAAATGATTTGCAGAAGGCTTCATGCTATACCAAGCTTCAATTGTTGTTTTTCCCTTGACAGCTTTAATAGAAACACCACTTAGAAGATACACTATTGTATACATAGCTCCAACCTAAAAAGACTGAGGTAGCTTCTTCTTTAATGTTATACACATGGTCATCTCTATTAGTTTTCTATTCTTCCTTTTAGAAACTCCATTGTGCTCTAGAGTGTAGCTAATGTTAGTTAGTGTTAGATGTTAGTCTCCTCACAAAAATTGTTAAACTTAGCAAAAGTGTATTTGTGACCATTGTTTGATCTTAGCTTCTTTAGTTTGCATCCACGTTGGCTTTCAACTAAGACCTTGAATTTCTTAAATAATGACAACACTTGAGCTTTGCTATTTAAGAAGAAAACCCAAGTCATTATAGTGAAATCATCAATGAACAGAATGATATACTTTTTTTTGGCTCAAAAAGGAAGTTCTCATGGGACCATAGATGTTTGTATGGACAAGATCTAGCTTTTCACTAGCTTTAACAACCTTGTTGATAGGAAATGATAGTCAATGAATTTTTTCAAGTTAACAACATTAACATACATGGTCACTAATATGCACTTCTAATAAGTTTTTGATTAAATCATTAGTTTGCATGTATTTCAACTTTTTGACATTAAAATGGCCATTTCTCTTATGCCATAGAATTGTATCATCAACCTTAGAAGCATATAGGCATTTCTATATAGATTTCATATCCAAAAGAGAGTTATTCTTGAGTATTTTAACTTTAGCAACCTCTATTCTACATGAATCATGAATATAGCATAAATCATGTTTAAATGACAAAGAATAGCCTTCATCATTTGAGCAATAAATAAGAAATTTTGACTCATATTGGGCACAAATAACACATTTGAAATTAGCTTGGCACCTAAACTTATTAGGATTTTTGTTGTTCCTTTTCCTTGTGACAAAATTTCAATTTCATTTCCAAGCTTTACACTGTTTTGATTGCTTTGTCTAGGTCCAAGACAATACTTTCATCTCAAGCCATGTAACTTGTGCAGCTGCTGTCAATAAAACAAAACTAGTAAAAGTTAAAGAACTACTTGAGAAGACCACAAACAAGTAATCTTATGCATGTTCATCAGTGTAATTTGCTTGTTGTTGTTGCTTTTCTCTATATTGAGGTTACTATGTTTTTTTAGTTAGCTTGTTTAGTTCCACTATTTTTCTCCATAGAGCCATATGTTTTGCAAAATGTGCATTGGATTTGAGGTTTTTCTTTCAACCTACAACTACTTTCTTCATGGTTGTTCTTTTTTCATGCTCATTGGAAGAGCTATGAAGAGACTATGGAGGGCCATGGCCCCCTGGTCTATTGAAAATTTTTTAAAATTAGTCCTTAAATTTTATATTTCATCCTTAATTTTTATTTTATTCACTAATTATTCTTAATATTTATGAAAATAATTATCATTAGTCTTTTTATAAATCTTGTCATTAAATTCAAAATAGAATGTTGTTATAATCATTAGTGACTAATCCATTACGTATAAAAATTACCTTTTAATCTCTAATATTTTTTGCCAAAAAATTGATAAGAAAATCTCTAAACTTCTAATTATTTCTTCACTTTGTCCTCCTTCGTGCTCCCGAGATTAACACCTTCATAGTGTTTAAAATTAATCTCAAATATTTACTTTAATCACCGATATCTATTTTTTCTAAGTCAAATATTAAAATTTTATCTCTAACTTATAATTTTTTCTTGAGCCAAGTCTATTTATGTTATTTTATTTTTCATTTCCTATACTAAATTTTGATAGGTTATTAAATTTATTACATATTTTTTAGATGTATTTTATTCTATTTCCTTTCACAAATACAACTAGATAAAAATTCACTAATCATAAAAACTCTCAAAGTACAATATATTTTACATTGAGCATGACTAAGTTTACTTTTAGACACAAGTTTATAACTTTAGAACTATATGTTACTCCTTCTAGTTTGTTTTAGTTGCCCTACTCCATTAACTTTGTCTTAATTAACTTGATGATTTTTTATAACAAATGAAGGACAACTATTTTTGTAATATCCCAAATTTTCGGGAATATTTAAGTGTAAGTTAGGGACTTAATTGTGAGAAAAGATTGTTTTGGGGCCTAATGTAAATATTTTGAAAGTTGAGGGGCTTAAAAGAGTAGAAATTGGATAAGGATGGCTTATTTCTTTTCTCCTTTTTCCTCTTTTTCTCCAGCCCGATTCTGCTCTTCTTTCTTCCCGCTGCAGCCCGAAAATCCCCCCCTCCAAGCCGCCAGCACCAGCTTTGAAAAATTGGTGAGAAAGCTTGGAATTTCTCCTCCTTTCTTGTCCAAGAACCTGATTTGGAACCCAGAAATCTTTCCCCCTGCTGGAAATTCCAGATCTGCCTTGCTCTGTTCGCCAGCTGCTCTTGTTGTGGGGGCAAATTGCTTGGGTTTTGGGTAAGAAACAGTTACCAATCCCTCTGTTCTTGCTTGAATTAACTTGGGTTTGCCTTAATTGCTCTTGTTCCTCCCATTTTTGGGTAGATTGCGTGATTCTTCCCTGCAATTGCCGCCGGCCTTCTCTTCCCCCTGTAGCTCCGGTTTTAGCTGGAAAATTCTGGTATGTGACAGCCTTTAAGGCTTAAATTGTCCATTTAGTTTGCTGCCTTGTGTGTCCGAATTTTGCTAGAAAAATGGGGGAATTCCGGTGGCTTTAGGACCATGATTAAGCACTAATTTAAGTGGGATTTATGTGATTGAGTGTAATTGCTTGTTGTGATTTTTGGAGAGAAAATCCCGTGAGATTAGTTAGTGTTTTGGCCAATTTGTGAAAGTCGGGTTACTGTTCACGTCGGGGTTACTGTTCACGTCGGGGTTACTGTTCACCGGTTACTGTTCACACCCCGAGGGCCAACAATTAACGGGGATTTAAGTGATTAGTTTGTGATATAAGAACGAATTTGGAGATATTTGATTATGTGGAAATTGATAAGAATAGCATCGTGATTAGGGATTAGTCATGATGATTTCAGTTTGAATTTGTGATGATTCGGTATTGATTCTCGAAATATTTTGATTAGGTTCCCGATCGTTCTGCCAATTAGCATTGAGATTGAGTGCTCGGTTTTATGCGAGTGAGGTAAGTAAATTTATGGTAATGCCCATACTGTTTTAAAAGCATGTTTTGATTTGTTTTTGAAGTGGTGGCGGGGCTAAACCCGTTTTACACGAGCATGACTGATTTGAAGTGAAATGTTTTATGCTTTTCATTAAATTGAGCATGCCTACTTGAAATTTGAGTGACTGTCTTGATGATTTGAAAGTGATTGTGAATGATGATTTTTCTGTTAACTTTTGCCTGTTTTGTCTCCGATATGGTCATGTATTCGTGTGCCCGCTAGTGGGAGGTTTATAAACGCTAGCACACGTCGACATGTTACTGATAGAACCGGTTCGTTTCTGTAACCCTACTAGTGGGGGTTAAACACTAGTAATTCCTGTTTGCCTGCCAGTGGGAACTGGCCATGACTAATAGAGGAGACGTCTATTTCGTGCCCGTACTGTATCTGTTTTCGTGATTGTACTTGTTGGCATGCTTTAAGTTTGATAAGGGGCACTCCATATTTACTTACTGAGTTTATCTCATAGTTTTTCCTTGTCCACCATTTCAGGATGTGAAACCGAGGACGGGGAAACCATGGGAAGTGACGAGTTAGAAGGCTAGCCATATTGTAATTGGATATAAATGTTAGATATGAATCATGATCTTGTATTTGGAGATTTTATGATATCAGAGAGATTTTAAGATTTGATCTTCAGATTTTGGTGGTATCAGATGTGAATTTGATAAGTTCCGAGCCTTGTGCGCTTGTGGGACTCGTCTCACGAGTGCACGGCGTCTGTTGCACCTCGAATTTGGGTTTTGGGGCGTGATAGATTTAGTGGTATCAGAGCTTAGGTTTGATTAAGATTTAATGGTATCAGAGCTTAGGTTTGATTAAGATTTAGTGGTATCAGAGCTTAGGTTAAATTAGATATCTGGAGATTGAGTGGTATAAGAGCTCAAGTTGAAATTAAGAGCTTAGGTTGAAATTAAGAGCTTAGGTTTGAATTAAGCACCTCCAGATTGAGTGGCATTAGAGCAGATTGAGTGATATCGAGCCTAGGTTTAATTGAATACCTAGGATTTGTTTTGGACTTGGCTAGCCAGTGGATTTTAGAACCATGGTGAGACGAGTGATGGGGTATATAAGGAACGATTCTGATTCATGTTGCCTGAAATTTTTTAATCCATTCTGATGAGATGGATATCTGATTGTTCTTTTTTCCTGCCTTCATACTCTGTGTGAAGTTGTGAAAGTAATCTTGCCCGTTATGTCCTGAAGACCTTGTTTTGAAACTTGGTCATTTTCTGATTGTCCGCACTTGTTTAGACTTGTCACGTGAATAGAATTTTTGTATGCTCTTTTGCCACAATTGTGAAATCTGGAGAGTTGCAGAGACTTTTGTTATTGATCCTGTTAGTCTCTACAGCATAGCTGGTTGAGAAATTTGTTTTGTTTATCGCATGACCAGTGGAGGATGGGTAAACCCTCTACTTTGTAAGAGATTCCAGGCTATTTTAGCAAATGTTGTGTGTTTTCTAGATGCGTTTTAGGAGCTGGATAACTTGGTAATTCCGTGCTCCTTACCTTCTGAAAGTCTTGTAGTGAAATTTCACTTTTTTCCATTTGGTGCCTCATGCTCTTTTCATGTGGCTCATTTTTCTATATTGGTTAATCAAGAGCAGTGATCATTCAATTGAAATTGCCTTGTTTT